GCAACAAGTCCAGGACGGAGGAGGAAGTCAGTCTACTCACCAATAGGAAATGAATCCATATAGTGGAACACTACACAATTAATAAAAATGCCTTCCACGCGCACCACAGTAAGTGTGGAAATCACCAATAAAAAATGATTTCTGTCACCAAAGTTACAAACATGTGCACACACATACATCTGGGGCATGCAAAGAAAATTTCTAGACATTTCTAAGAAACCTGAATGGTACCTTGAAAAGAATGGGATGGAAGGAGACAGAAAAATTTCACCCTCTACCCTCCTGTAGGGAAGAAAAATAAAATACGCATATGTAATGTTTAATGTGGGTCAAACAGTGAAGGAAAAAAAAAATCAAGGAACAATTATTTGGGGAAAGTGGCTGGAGAAATGACTGCTATCTCTAAATCCACACCAATGCAGACACATTAAAAATAACATATACTCAAAATAATGAAAGGTGAGATTTCTTTAAGGTGCAGTCACACAATCAAAAAACAGTCACAAAACTTTGCTTGGACAACCACATAGTTCAGTAACAAAGCAGAAACAAGGTCTTGCAAAAGCTGTAATTTGTTAAGTGCAGGTTTGCTGCAGTTCCCCTGTGGCATGATCTGTTTAGACTCCAAGTTCGAGTTGTAAGTCTTTGTACCAAGATCATTTTGTATTTACCTCTGGATAACATAATCCCAGGTAATATAAATCCTAGGAGTTCTAGTCCAATAGAACAAAAACTATCTGTAGAACCTTATGAAGACTCACTTATACTGTATATATGCCTGCTTTTAAAATTTTAGATCAGGGACCCAGTCCATTTTGTTCTTAGTATATGCCCAACTCCCAGAGCATAGTAAATAGAGGTGATCAATACAATTACAAAACCCGTATGTACGCAGAAGTATACCACATTGCAAGTTTTAATCATGAATTATTATCTAAAAGCTATGTTGAAGGCAGAAGGTAGCGAAGTGACTTCTGTTGAAAATCACAAGGAATTACAAAGTCTAAAGAAAAAAGGGATAAGATTAAAATGTGAAAATTGGTTGCTCTGAATTGGAAATGAGAACACTACCCACCTGATAACATTCCTACACCTATCATTTTTTGCTTCTATCAGCAGAAGACACAAGAATACTAAAAAGCTACAACTACCCAAGGTAGTAGGAAGGCAGCCTATCTACTTCATAAAGCCACAATAAACAGAATGACAAGAATATTATAAGATGCTTAGGAAGACCAAAATTTTGACACTAAACTCATCAGTTGTACACTGCATAGTGTAGACCGAATACCAGACTTTCTTGTTTTAGCCAATGATGAGAAATGAGCTGTCCTGGACTTCTGGGGAAAAGAAGCTCGAATTACGCTTCTCCACTTCAATGCTGAATGACCAATCTTAACCCTGAAACTACACTGTCAGGCTTGAGGGGGTTCCCAAAAAGTTCATGGAAAACCAGCATTAAGATTATGGATTTCATCCATAGGCTTGGCAGCTTATGACAAGAGCCTTGGGTGATTACTGACATCATAAATAAGAGTGTCAATTGTTAAATCAACAACGGGAGTCACTGTACACCTACTCCCCATGTAGGTAGGATCTCTGTCCTTAATTCGTTGTACTATGCAAATTAACAGTAAAACTGCTACTCAAATAGTACTCTATACTTCATGTGTCTATGTGGGTGCAGTCTGTTGAAGTCTTTACTTAGTATATGCTAAGTTGATCTTCTGTATGTAAAGATAGTTGAAAATGAATTTTGATGAAGAATGGGATGGGAGAGGGAGTGGGAGATGGGATGGTTGCAGGTGGGAGGGAGGTTGTTGCGGGAAAAGCCACTATAATCCAAAGGTTGTACTTTGGAAATTTATATTTATTAAATAAAAGAAAAAAAAAAACAAAATCAGGTGGAAAAAAAAGATTATAGATCTCAAAAAACTTTGCACCAAAATAAACTTATCTTTAACTTCCATATATTCACAAGTTTTCTGAAGTAGCCTCAAACTTTTTGCTAAACATATATTTTTTAAATAACTAGAATGATCACATAGATTTAATGTCACAATATAGAATTGCTATAAGTTTCTAGACACCCAATTTTTATACTGGTCTCCAAAGACTCGAATGAATTTTGCTTTTCAATGTCAATCTGGCTTAAAATTCTGAATTTGTGTAAAGGTCTAATCCATGAGAGAAAACTCAATTGTTTAGTTTTTTTCCCCCAGTACTCAGTAAAGGTAGGCAAACCATAAGAAAGATTTAGAAATAACAGGTAGCACAGAAATCTGTCATTAACTTGTTCTAAGTTTAATATGTAAAAACACAGGCTGGCACTGGCACAGTGAGTTAAAGCCACATCCTGCAGCACTGGCATCCCATATAGGTGCTGGTTCGAGTCCTGGCTGCTCCACTTCCAATCTAGATCCCTGCTAATGTGCCTGGGTAAATACCACAGGATGGCTCAATTCCTTGGACCTTGCACCCATGTGGGAGACCCAGAGGAAGCTCCTGGCTACTGGCTTCAGATTGGCTCAGCTCTAGCCATTGTTGCCCTTTGGGAAGAAAACCAGCGGAGGGAAGACCTCACTCTATCTGTCTCTCTACCTCTCTCTGAACTCTTTCAAATAAATAAAATAAATTTTTTTAAAAAAATGTCAAACACTGCTATATCACAATGACTTACTAAACTTAAATTAGCCTCTTGAATACAACTTCAGCACTTAAGAATCTAGATTTTGCCATTTATCTTAGAAGATACTATAGAGCACATATAATTAAAACTGTGTATGAAACAGTCACTTATACTATACTCCTGTACCTTTTGCCTCCAAATGTTCAAAACTCCCCAGACTAGTTTAGTTGTTGGTAATAGAGACTAAAAAATTTCCATCTATTACTGGATTCATTAATAGATTTACCAAAGTAAGTAAAGTGGAGAGATGTTTATACGCCTACCTATAAGCTGAATATAATCTGATACAACTTCGGTAGTCTATTACAGAGGCCGGCGCTGTGGCCCGAAGCGCCGGCATCTCATGTGGGCGCCGGTTCTAGTCCTGGCTGCTCCACTTCCGATCCAGCTCTCAGCTTTGGCCTGGGAAAGCAGCAGAAGATGGCCCAAGTTCTTGGGTCCCTGCACCCGCATAGGAAACCCGGAAGAAGCTCCTGGCTTCGGATTGGTGCACTCCGGCTGTTGCGGCCAATTGGAGAGTGAACCATCATATGGAAGACCTCTCTCTCTCTGCCTCTCCTCTCTCTGTGTAACTCTGACTTTCAAATAAATAAATAAATTTTTTTTTTTTTTTTTTAAGATAGCCTATTACAAATAGGCCCTATTCTACTGAAAAGGGGTAATATTGACTTACAGTCTCTGGAACAAAATTCCCAGGATTCTAATTCACACTTTGCAAACAACAAGCTGTGAAGTTAATACTTGTTTTTTTCATTTGTAGAATGGATTAACAGCACATACTTCAGAAAGCATTATTATGCAGGTTAATGTGCACTGTAAAGTGACTGGAGCATTGCTTAGCACACATAACCATTACTTTATAAGTACAGAAATTATTTCTTACATAGTATTCCTCAATCGTTGTGCCAAACAGGGGCAATAAAGTTAATCAGATAAAATGTCACATCCCTACAATGAACTACTGTTTATCCATTAAACATTATTTCAATTCTTGATTATGAAAATACATTTACAATATCCTGTTGAGACAGGAAGTAAGATGCTAGTGATGTTACAGAAAGCTGCAAGTCCCTATGATATTTTAGTGACAACTGCCAGAAATGATTCACAGTAATGTATAATCCCTCCTTGACTCTATGAAGATTTAAAATAGGGATTCCAAAATGGTAATGATAATCAAATGCTGTTATTTTTTTCTAAGAATTGTGTACATTTAATGTTTTATTCCTCCTCTACCCCTAAAAACTGTTACTTCTTAAAACTGAACTGCATCTTAGAGTATCTTTAATTTCTAATGGATATACTACTCTAAACTCATCCATTACCAATACACCACTAATCACCACCAATTTTAAGCAAGTTCTTGAAGTGTGCATAGCCACACATGTCAACACAGATAACACATCAGCTTTACCAGTCACCCAAGCTTAAATAGCAGACACTAGGGTACAACATGTTGAGAATATGAACACAAAAGATTCAGTTGCCACAATAATGCACAAGAGGCATTTACGGCATTGAGAATATTAGGATGGTAATTTGCGGTACTCATCAAAATGCTCTGAAATTCTACAATGAAATCAATGCTATTAATTTCACATTTATTGTATACAGGATCTCCATCAGGTTTATCAGTTTTTAAATGATCAACTCGTAATTACCATTTAAAATCAAATTTTCCTCTCAACTAAAATTTCCACTCTTAGTTCAGCTTACTCTTTAGTCTATGGTAGCCATGCTTTATTTCAAATGGTCTAAGCTATTTCATTATGCATTATAGACAAAATGTCTGCTTTCATATCACACCTACAAAAAGTAGATCAAGTTTTCAAGTTTACAGAAAACCATACTATAACAATTTACCAATATAAACATCTTGATTCCTGTTTATTCCATTCTGTTTAGACAGCAACAATAACAAAATGCTATCACTGACAATTACATAAAAACATCTCAATCCAGAAACCAAGTTTTACAACCACTGTTCCTACCAATCAAAGGAATATGCACCAAGATCCCAATTCTCAGGAATTTTAAGATATTAATGGTACATTAGTTACCTAAGACTGAAGGACTATGCCTTACTTTATAAAAAAAAAAAAAAAAAGATAGCCATATCAGCTTAATTCCATATATATAATACTACCTATTTAATTAAAATTGTAATAAACATAATGTACTAGTACTGCAAACTTATGTTGTTCATGTGGGAAGACACTACAAGAGAAGACATAACAGAGACTGCCTGGCAATAAGAAGTACAAATTCCTTCAATAGAGATGGAGGAAATAAAAGGACAAATCTAGTTGTCTAAAAGACAATTCACTGTACACATTTTATTTACAGTTTTGTACACTGTCTTAATATGAATGGGACCGCTTTTCTACTTGAGCCATTTTTAACCAAAGCAAAATAACCTAAGTAATACAAAGTGTTAAAATACAGCATAAAGATACAAAAACAGACATACTAATTCTAGTTAGGAATGTAATTATGATGTTACATTTTTTATAATCCACAATTATGTTTAGGAAATCACACAAACATAGATCACTGATTTGAATGAAATGCATAAATTTGTAGCAAAGCTTTGTAGTTACAAAAAACAAAAAAATTACCAAAGAATGCACAAAATTAATGTTTATTCCACCTTTGTGTCATATTCCTGGATCCTTCACCAATGTTACATGAGGAAAAAACAAAAGCAAAACAAATGAAAAACTGAAATCAGAATCACTAATGTTATCAAATAGGGAAACAAATAAATTAAAATCTAGCAGCCATCAGCAAAAGTACAGCAAAGATGATGCTGTAAAAAGAAACAAGGAAAATTGCTAGAAAACTGTATGCATCATACTCTTTCAAACCAGCAAAATATGCTCCTGCATACAATGGAACATAAACAGTATTTTTTTCCTGTAAGGTATAGAAATGTAAGTTCTTTTTTTAATATTGTGGATGGGTAAAATGTGTTTGTATAATTCTACTAAACTATTACAGAATGGGCCAGGAACACATAAGGATCATGGGGAAGATGTATACTGTATGTAATTCTTTGATTGGGGTAGTGGACACTCTAGCCAAAATTAAAAAAAAAAAAATGAACACAGAAGTACAAGACAAAGGCGAATGAGACTTCTCTTATATCTTAGCAACATTTAGATGGAAATCAAATTTAAATGCAGTCCACTCTGCTTTTGAAGAGGCTTTGGTTCAGCTCCCAAATCTCGATTGCTTGACGCAGTCTCCTATGAGAATACTCAAAAGGTGTCTTCTTAAACAACAAACCTATTTTTAGTGGTGGAGCCGCTCTTAGTAGCTGTGTCTGCATGGGACTGATAACCAATCACTATCTTTGGAGGAAGTCCTAACCTTTCCTTGTATACCCTCCTGGAAGAAAAAGAAGGAAAGCTGCTATTAATTTTTGTTCACCTAAAAAAATTAATTAAATTTAAAAACTAAAACAAATATTTAAAAATTTTTTAATTAAAATTAGTTTTGAAACTTTAAAAAAAGTGGGCTTTAGAGTGAAATAGGAAATTACACATCTTTTTTAGCATAATGTACTCTTCATTTTCACAATAATCTTTGCTACAGTCAATCAAGCATGTACCAGGTAATGTGGTAATTACCAAATGGTGAGCAAAGCAGGGATCCTCCTTGGACTTCATGACATTCATAGTCCAGGAGTGAAAACACACTCAGATTATCACAAGTAGGTATGTGGAATCATGTCAGAAGCATACTTAACTTACAACATACTTATAAAAAAACCAGTACCCTGCACATACCTATTTTCATTCCTTAAAATGCTATAATACATTTGAAGCCTAGTAAACACTATATATCACTACCCAGTTACATTTATCATATCCATTACTGACAAGATTGAACACAAAGAAATTCAACATATTGAACTTATTTTTAAAGGGTAATTTAAAACACACAGAACTTCTGCTGTATTAACCCTACAACATGATTTCCAAATAAGATGTGACTATTTTAAGAACAAAATGTAATGAGTCCACAATGAAGTTATTCTAAGGGCAGTGATACTGTATTAAAAGAAAGATTAGGCCGGTGCCGCGGCTCACTAGGCTAATCCTCCGCCTAGCGGCGCCGGCACACCGGGTTCTAGTCCCGGTCAGGGCGCCAGATTCTGTCCCGGTTGCCCCTCTTCCAGGCCAGCCCTCTGCTGTGGCCAGGGAGTGCAGTGGAGGATGGCCCAGGTGCTTGGGCCCTGCACCCCATGGGAGACCAGGAAAAGCACCTGGCTCCTGGCTCCTGGCTCCTGCCATCGGATCAGCGCGGTGCGCCGGCCGCAGTGCGCCGACCGCGGCGGCCATTGGAGGGTGAACCAACGGCAAAGGAAGACCTTTCTCTCTGTCTCTCTCTCTCACTGTCCACTCTGCCTGTCAAAAAATAAAAATAAAAAAAAAAAAAAAAAAAAGAAAGATTAAATCTTGTCTGCAAAATCACATAAATCTGCTCTTTAAAAACCATGCAGTCAGGGAAGGCATTTAAGTGGTTAAGACACCACGTAAAACATTCCTTTTCCACATTAGAGCTACTGCAGACTCTGGAAGGCAGCAGTGAAGAGTCAGTAATGGAGTCCCTTCCACCTACAAAGAAGACTTGAATTGAGTTCCCAGTTCCCAGGCATCTGAGGAGTGAACAAGCAGATGAGAGATCTCTGTCTCTTATCTGCCTCTCAAATAAGTTTCTATATCTTTGGTTTTAGGCAAGAAGTATGTTCACAGAGAAATTTACAATATTTGAAAAATCAAAAAGAGGAAAATCAAACATATTTGGACCTTTCAATAACTAGTATTTAAACTTTTTTTATTTGACAGAGTTAGACAGTAAGAGAGAGAAAGACAGAGAGAAAGGTCCTCCTTCCATTGGTTCACTCTCCAAATGGCCACTACTGCCGGAGCTACGCCAATCCGAAGCCAGGAGCCGGGTGCTTCCTTCCAGTCTCCCATGGGGTGCAGGGCCCAAGCACTTGGGCCATCCTCCACTGCCCTCCCGGGCCACAGCAGAGAGCTGGACAGGAAGAAGAGCAACTAGGACTACAACCCAGCGCCCATATGGGATGCTGGCGCCGCAGGCAGAGCATTAGCGAAATGAGCCATGGCACTGGACCCTAGTATTTAAATTTAACAACACTTAAAGCCAAACTTTAATAATTTAAGTGTAGTAAAAAGAAAATCCTAGCTAATACTGATGTTTGAGTGTTAGCAATCACTTTGCAAATAAAAATGACCAGAAGAGTACAAATACCCACAAATGTGGGTTTTAAATACATACAAAACTCATGGACTGGTTTTGTGGGCAGGAAGCAGGTTAAGCCTCTGCCAGCACATGCCCACATTCCATTATATGAGCACCGTTCGAGTGCTAGCTGCTCCACTTCCAATCCAGCTCCCTGCTACTAATAGGCCTGGGAAAGCAGCAGATGACACTAAGATCCAGATGGAGTTATAGGCTCCAAGCTTCAGCCTGGCCCAGCCCTGGCTACTGCGCCATTTGGGGAGTGAACCTGTGGATGCTATGGATGGAAATCTCTCCCTCTCATTCTCTATCTGTAATGTAACTCTTATCTTGCAAATAAATAAGTAAATCATTAAAAAAATTTAAAAAGTAAGTAAATACAGACAAAACTCATATCTTACTTAAATTTCAATGAAAAGTGTATGTAGCATATATGTGCTCAATGAATTATTTCAGTATTAATGTTTTTCAAAGCTGTATTTTTTCAAATTCTACTTTTCAAAATAGAAAAAGGAAACTTGCATTCTCATTTAGTAAATGTATTAACTGCTACATGTCAAACTGGACTGCTCTAATGATCATGTATTCCACTAAGAAAAATACACTTATATAGAAATGAAAAAATATGAAGACACTGAGCACCACCACAGTTCAAAATTGTAAAAGTATCCACAAAAACAATATAAGAAAAGTAACAATCTGCAAGCTTCAGTATTTTAAAAGATATAAACAGAAAATCTTCTGGTTTTACTTATCTTCATATTGTAAAAGCAAAAAAGGCAAAAAGCAAAACTTACCCTATATGTGTAACAGCATCTCTATTTTCACATTCAGTAGTCCATATTGCTATTTTATCACCTTTAGCTCTAACATTAACAACAGCTCCACATACATCATCGCTGTAGTCATCAAAAGATTCTCCAATAAGGCACAGCAGCTTAAAAAAAAAAGCAAATTACATTCAATAGATTATGAACCACTCATTAGACTGCAAACATCTCTTTCCATACTTGTTTGTATTTAAACAAGACTAAAATTTTAAATTGAGTTGATTTTTAAGTGTCTAAACTTTATTCATATACATAATTTCTTGCACTGAAAAACATTTGCTTGATAAATTACACTTCTTAAAGATTTTACTTATCTATTTGAAAGGCACAATGACACATAGGGAGAGACAGCAATCTTCTATCCGTTGGTTCACTTCCCAAATGGCCACAATAGCCAGGCTTTGTGAGAGTGAACTCAGGACCTGGAACTCCATCCAGGTCTTTCACACGGTGTCAGGGACCCAAGAACTTGGGCCATCTTCCACTACCTTCCAAGGCACATTAGCAGGGAGATGGATGGGAAATGGAGCAGCAGACTCCAACAGGCATTCAAATGGCATGCTAGTATCGCAGGCAGTGACTTAATCCACTGAGGCACAATGCCAATCCGACTGCTTGTTAATTTCATATCAAGTACATTAAGAGCTGTTTTAACTTTATCAGCAAACTGGGCAACTGATGTCAGGACATACAAAGCTGAATTTTATTAATATTCATTTGCTCCATCATCGCTTATACTTTTTGGCCAACAAATTCTTCAGGAAATAACTGAAATAGCTACTCATAGTTAGATTAGCTACCTTGCTCCCGCTTTTCATGAGTACTTACTACCATTTTAGAATAGCAGAGTTCACAAAGAAGTAATGGAAATGACCCTGCAGCAATGACAGCAACAGACTATGATTGTTAAGCTTTCTGATTAGCAAAATGTACACAATCTGCTATATTTTAAGATATAAGGAAACTAATGAAAACAGGATAAAATGTACATGGATTTTTATCTCTGCACCAGGAAGTTTAGTAATATGTAGTAAATGTTTAAAATCTATATTTCTATTTCTCTAATACTATACCTAAAAAGTGGTACAAAATGATGTACAGCTAAGGGTATTTGTCAAGGTATCATTAATACCAAACATTACAATTTAAAAATTCATCAGTGCAGAGATAATAATTTATTTTATATATACCAAATAGAATTCTACAGTTATTCAAAATAATAATACAGATCTATTAACCTGAAACTCAATCATTGATACATTACTGAGTTTAAAAATAATTTGTAAAAAGAATTACGAAACAAATTTGCTATTTTAACCATTTTAAAGTATACAGGTTAGTGGCATTAAGTACATTCAGCATTTTTGTGCAGCCATCACTATAGCACAGTTTGAAAGCATTGCTGTTACCTTGTAAAACTGAAATGCCCTTTTTAAGGTGAAATTATAAAGTGGTAATTACTGCTGATCACCAAAGTCAAAATTATCTCTTATTACATTCAAATATTTATCAAGTGCTTAACTTAATAAGTGCTAACTAAAACGGATATTATGTTATGCACTAGGGAAAAGCAGACCATAAACCCTGTTTCTGAAAGTTCGGGGTCTGGAACTTCTGACTATAGAAAATACCTATTATCACATATTTAATGTGTCACTTAAATCCAAAAGTTCCAGCTTACATCCAATATGAATCTAAAAAAAAAAAAAATCACTGAACACATTAATAGCAATTCTATAAGTTGAAAAAAAAAAAGCATCAATCATACAAATGTGAGGTTCTATTAACTTTGAGGTTAATAAAATGCTCAGTGTGAACTTATTGTGGAAGATGGCAGTTAACTGTCAATCACTGTATACCTGACTTGTGAGAATGTTTCACTGTCCCAGTGTGGGTACACAGGATTCACATGATAGAATAAAAATGGCTGCTAACTTAGTATTTTCTGTTTTGAGTATTTTTAAATCCTTTTTTGTTTTTTTAAAGATATATATCTGGGGTCGGCCCTGTGGCACAGTGAGTTAAAGCCACAGCCTGCAGTGCTAGCAATGCATATGGGCACTGGTTTGAGTCCCAGTTGCTCCACTTCCAATCCAGCTCCCTGCTAATGCACCTGGGAAAACACCAGAGAATGGCCCAAGTCCTTGGGCACCCTTGCACCCATGTGGGAGACCTGGAAGAAGTTCCTGGCTCCTGACTGAATCAGCTCAGCTCTGGCCATTGTAGCCACTTGCGGAGTGAACCAGCCGATGGAAGACCTCTCTCTCTCTCTACTTCTCTGTAACTCTTTCAAATAAATAAAATACATCTTTAAAAAAATCTTCCATCTACTGGTTCACTACTAAATGCCAGGAGCTGAAGCCAGGAATCAGGACTCCATTCCGGTCTCATGTGGGAGGCAGGAACCCAACTTCTTGGACCTGCCTCCCAGGTGCAGTAAAGGGCAGCTGGATGGGAAGGTATACAGCAGCCAGGACTGAACTCAGGTACTAGATATGAGGGTATCCCAAGCAGTGGTTTCACCTGCTGTGCCACAATACCCACCCTCTTATCAACTCTTAAATTAACCAAAATAGAAATGTAATGTAACGCAAGTATCAAATGTTCTAAAACTGTCTCTCGGACTGAATAACTGTAAAACCTTACTGTCTCTAGCCAAAAGCGATCGAGGTCACTTCGTCTCTGCTGTTTGTTTAACGTAATTAGCCATCGTCCTCCCCGTTTGTTTTTCTCATCTTCCCACATAGGCTCAATGCCATCCTACAGGGTAATAAGAACAGAACAATATTAGAAAATAGTATTATTTTTACTTTAGGAGATAAACACTAGAAATTGCAAGCAACATTTACGTTACTATCCATAAAACTACCAGTGGTAGAGTTTTCATGCATGACTTAAAGCCTGAGTCCTAAGGTTGCAGAATTTGAGTTCTGATTTTGTCATATATTAGCCACCAAACCTTGAATTTCAATTTTTTTGGAGGTCCTTAAATTCTGAGTAGCAGACACCTTTTAGAAGCTACACACACTTCTAAACCTAGAAAATCCCGTCAAAAATTACATAATTTCAGAGTTAATAAATACCCTCCCCACCCCCAACTGTCTGACAAAACCCATTTATAAATATCTCAAGGACTCATACACTCTAAGGTAAGAATGCCTGAGAAACTCAGGCTATGTAAAGATATAAAAAAGGAACTGGACGGATAATCAGTGCTCTTTTCAAAATTAATCTCAACATATGTCCATGGAGGGAGACTCTCTAAATTTCTTATTTGTATTATAAATAGAGTAAAACCTATTGATGCGAAAGGCCAGTAAAGCCAATTTAACCATTAGCTTGTGCATGATGCTATACGTTGTTTCTAAGTTGGTGGCAAGATTTCTTAATGAATACCTGAATGGCTAGGTCCCATAATAAATATATAAAGTCATCAATTAAGCATACCTTAAAAAGTGAGTAGTCACAGCCAGGCATTAAATTACTAGACAACTGGATATGGTTGTACAGACTAGGCAAAAGAAAGGGACAATTAAAAACATAGAATACATAATAGTTTAAGTGCTTAACATAGAGACATTTAGAAAATATAAAAATGAACAGAAGTTTGTATAACTTTAATGTAGTCAACTTCTGAAATGGATAAAACATCTTTCATGAAACAACTTATGATATATACTTTTTTCAAGAAAATATTTTTAATTTATTCTGAAAAAATATATTTTGATAGATAACTCAATGCACATACATTTATTCTAAGACACTGAAGGCAGAGGTATGATACTGTTTTAAATAGATAAAAGAATTTATGAAGCTAACAGTTTGTTCACAATCACACCAAAAGGCAAATCAAGAGAAAAGCAAACTTCCAGTTCATCAGAATTCCGTAACTGAAATAGTCACTATCATCATCCTTCAAGGTATCCAAGAGTAGAACAGACCAAGAATTCCTGAATACCACAAACTTTTCCTGGTTAGGCAGCACAATAAAGGAAGCTTTAAATGAAGTACATAGTTCAAGGCTCTACTCCTTGGAATTATAATCATTTAAATAGGGGGTAAAGTCAGCAAAAGGCAAATCAAAACCACAATGAAGTTTCACTTCATCAGGGTTAGAATGGCTTTCATACAGAAACCAACAAACAACAAGTGCTGGGGAGGATGTGGGGACAAAGGTACCCTACTCCACTGTTGGTGGGAATGCAAACTGGTAAAACCACTATGGAAGATAGTTTGGCGATACCTCAGAAATTTGAATACAGTCTTATCATTCAACCCAGCCAATCCACTCCTCAGAATTTGCCCAAGGGAAATAAAATCAGCAAATAAAAGTCATCTGCACCCCCATATTTATTGCAGCTCAATTCACAACAGCTAACACATGGAATCAGCCTAAATGCCTTTCAATGGAAGACTGGAGAAAGAAATTAGGGGATATGTACTCTATAGAATACTACACAGCGGGCCGGCGCCGCAGCTCACTAGGCTAATCCTCCACCTAGTGGCGCCAGCACACCGGGATCTAGTCCTGGTCGAGGTGCCGGATTCTTCCCCAGTTGCCCCTCTTTCAGGCCAGCTCTCTGCTGTGGCCAGGGAAGGCAGTGGAGGATGGCCCAAGTGCTTGGGCCCTGCACCCTATGGGAGACCAGGAGAAGCACCTGGCTCCTGCCTTCAGATCAGCATGGTGCGCCGGCCGCAGCGTGCCAGCCGTGGTGGCCATTGCAGGGTGAACCAATGGTAAAAGGAAGACCTTTCTCTCTGTCTCTATCTCTCACTGTCCACTCTGCCTGTCAAAAAAAAAAAAAAAAAAAAAAAAAAAAATCCAGTCATTTGCAACAAAATCAATGAATCTGGAAAACATCATGCCTAGTGAAATAAGCCAGTCCCAAAGGTACAAATAATATATATTTTCCCTGATCTGTAATAATGAACAAAGCACCTAAAAGGAAACCTGTAGAAGTGAAATTGACACTATGAGAAGCAATGACTTAAACAGCCCTTGTCTTGACTGTCAAGGAACAGTTTATTATTATTTTTCTACTTAATACCATTGATTGAACTCTTTACATAACATAGAATTAATCATAGGTATATAAAGTCAAATGTAAGTAGATCCCAGTGAGACGTAAGAGTGGAAATAAGAGAGGGAGGAGCTGTACAGTTCTGCACACATTCCCACAGCCCTACCCCTAAGGGTAAAGCTAAAAATTTGCCATGGGACTCCAAATCCCATTAAGCTGGGTAGTACTAATGCCATATTACGTGTTAAAGTGATCATATTAAGTATGTAATTGATCATATAGATAGGACTAAGTGTCAGAGATCACATAAATAAGATCAAGTGTCTGGTGATAACAACAGAATTAAAAAGGAGAGAATGTTCCAACATGGGAAGCATGGTCATCTGTATATAAAGTTAATTAAAAACCAATCTTAATGAAGAATGGGATGAAAGGGAGTAGGAGGTGGGACGGAGTGGGGAGAAGAACCACTATATTCCTAAAGCTGTACCTATGAAATCTGTATTCATTGAATAAAAGCTTTCTTAAATAAATATCGGATAGAATCCTAGAATATGTATTCCTAACTTATTTTGTAATTATCAAAATAACACAGTAACATTTGAGGTAACTTACTTGCCTAAAGGTAAAAGGACAGATCATTTGATCTCTTGAAGTCTCTCACAGCAAAAATTGCTACATAACTGGCAAGAATAAGACTCTGACTATCTCCAATACTGGACAGTAGAAATGATGATCCTATCAATATAATCATAGATTATGGATGTTTCTCTTATTCATGTTTAGATGCTATTTTAACAGTCTAGGAATATTTCAGGCAGAATTTTAGAAGCAATTTGGCAACCTTTCAATCATATTGCATAATATAACATACACATTCAGTTTGGGTAAGATAGTATGACACTGCCTAAGGACTACTGAGTCACTACCCAATGCCCACACTAGGCAATAAAAGAAGCCTGAATACTGACAACTACAGAATTAGCACCACTAGTTAAGAAACAGTAATGGATAATGTGGGAGTGACCTTCTTCAATGGCACTCAAAGGTAGAAAAGACAAATGCTTCTTTTTTGCTGTCCTCCTTTCTGGTATGCTAAGGCTTTATACTTTATAGTAAGAACTTATAATGGCACATTTAAACAGAGTCCTAAGACCACACAGACCATAAATACAAAATGACTTAGTGGTTGTTTTCACTAAATTGTTAGAAAAATAGAAATTATGAAGTGATTGAAGATTTTTTTAAAAAGGTTTATTTGAAAGGGAGCGTTACATAGAGAGAGTGAGAGGGAGAAAGATTTTTCCATCTGCTGGTTCATTTCCCAAATGGCCAAAATGGCCAGGGCTTAGCCAAACCCAGGAGCCTGAAGCTCTCATGTTGGGTGACAGGGGCCCAAGTACTTGGGCCATCTTCTGCTGATTTCCCAGGTGTATTACCCAGGAACTGGATGGGAAGTGGAATGGCCAGGACTCAAACCAGAGATCAAATGAGATGCTGACATTGTAGACAGTGGTTTAACTCTGTGTCACAAAGCCAGGCCCATGATTGAAGATGCTAATAGAAAGCTGAAGAATTCCTCCACACCTCTAAATTATGGTGTAGAAATCCACTATGCAGGGGCCACCAATGTGGCACAGCATAAAGATGAAATCTAGCACCAGCGTCCCATATGGACAACAGTTCAAGTTCCAGCCACTCCACTTCTGATCCAGCTCCCTGCAAATGCTCCTGGGAAAACAGTGGAAGATGACCCAAGTGCTTGGGCCCCTGTAGCCATATCGAAGACCAGGAGGAAGCTCTGGCAGTTGCAGCCATTTGGGGAGTAAACCAGCATATGGACGATCTCTCTATCCCCTCCCTTATAGTAAATTTTGAGTAAATAAAGTAAATTTTTTGAGAAAAGAAAAAATCTACTATGTAATAAAATTGCTTACACATAACTAAAGTGTACAGCAAAATTCTAACTAAAGGACAAGTTAGAAATACAATTTATGTAAACTGGTGAAAGCCAAACTAGCTAAATGCAAACCTGATTGGGAAGGGTAGTAGACTTTTGTTTTCTAGAGACTGATGAGGGTTTTTTTTTGGTGAAATAGACTATAGAATTATGAAGTCTTGATTAAACAAAATTATAGGAAAAACCACTTGATATTGTGAAGAAGGATAAAACATAGATCTAGACAACTACATCTATGAAATAATAGAGCTTAAATGTAATTCTATTTTTGTTTTTTTAAAGATAATACTTTTAGGAGTCAGCATTGTAGTACAGGAGTTGAGACACTAGCATCCCATTATGGGTGCCAGTCCTGGCTGCCCCATTTCCAATCCAGCTCCCAGATAATGCTCCTGGGACAGCAGCACAGGATGGCCCAAGTACTTGGGCCCCTGTCACTCACATGGAGTTCCAGCTCCCGATTTTGCCCTGGCCCAGCCCTGCCTGTTGAGGCCATTTAGGGGAGTGAACCAGTGGATGTTTAATCTCCTACTTTCTCTCTGTAACTCTGGCTTTCAAATAAATAAAATAAATCTATTTTTAAAAAGTTATTACTTTTAGTAAAAAGTGACTCATCTTAGGGCAGATATTGTGGCGCAGTGGATTAAAGCCACTGCTTGCGAAGCTGGTGTCCTATATTGGAATGCCCATGTGTGCTGTTTCTAATTCAGCTTCCTGCTAACGCACCTAGGGAAGGCAACAGCACATGGCCTAAGTACTTGGGCCCCTGCCATTCACATGGAGACCAGGATGGGGTTCCTGGATCCTGACTTCAGCCTGGTCCTGAATGGGCCATTGTAGCTTGTCTCTCCCTCCCCCTTTAACTACTGTTTACATAAATAAATCAATCCTTAAAAAAAAATCCAACTCAAAGTGGCTAGTTCATAATTTATAGTTTTCCTTAATCATTCTGTCTGGCTTTTTTTAGTGATGCACATACACAGTAATACTAAATCTATTTCAGGGCAAGCACTAGAAATAGACTGAAAAATACCATTTCTGCCCTTGAGAAAGTTTGCATGTAACAATTTTGTAACCACAATCCATTTCTTGGTACACAGGCAGAATATACTCAGGGTGTCACAATAAAACATTAAGAGCAGCAGCACTAATTCAACATACATATGATTTTAAAATACAGATGTATAAATTAAAATATTTAGATAACTGCTAGGTGGTTTAAATCTCTTTGTTTAATAGGGGGAAGGCACCTACATTCCACACTGGAGTAGCTGGGCTTACTATCTGTCTCAGGCTTCTGGATCCAACTTCCTGCTAACGTAGGTCCTGGCAGGCAGTAGTAATGGCTCAAATTAACTGGATACCTGGCACCCATGTGAGAGACCTTAAGCGGGTTCTTGGCCCCAGCTTCAACCTCAGGCCTGCAGCCACTATGAACACTTGTTGAGTGAACCAATAGATAGATATCCTCTGTCTACCTGTCTCTCAAAAACAAAATAATGTGCTTATAAATTTCACCTTTCAAATTCTCAAACAAAATCTCTCTATACATTCTCCAAGTCAATAAAACACACTAAATCATCTTTTAGAGAATCAGCATCAAAACTTCTTGGAAAAGACTTTATAATTTTACAATTAATTTTGAAGTCATATAAAAGTTCATAATCCCAGATTCCAATATTTTGCTTTTCAAAAACAAAATCTCAAAAAAAAATTCACTATTCTTCTTGAAGCTGATCACAACTTATAAAGAAATAAATAAACTATCATAACAGACACTTATTGACAGCCCTCTGAATTTTGAACACTTCAAATCTTTACTATCTCAAAACCTCAGACAGTACTCTGAAGAGGGTCTGCAGAAACAGGAACCCCACAATGCTCTAAAATACCCATTTATGAGGCAAATATATCTGGGCAACCATTAAAAGGAACAAGTGCCAACCAATTGTCAAAAGTTCTAGGGGAAATAAAGGATTCTCTTTAAAGAATATCCCAGGACAAGGAATAGAAAACATTAATGACTAAAGGATTACAAGACTAAGGCTTCTGACAACTGATGAAGATTTATCCCTAATTCAAACACGCATTAGATGGACAAACAGAAAAGGTAGTTCTACGGGAAAAAGATTAACTGTTTACTTCACCCACTATTTCATCAATTCAAATTAAAATGAAAAACCACAAATAAAACTAGTAACAATCTAAAATAAAGGGGTACTTACGCCCAAAAGTCTTCAACAGTATCAAACTTAGAGATCAGCCGAAGGTTTGCTTGCCAAGTTTTGCTTTTATCATTTTTAAAAAACCAGAGCGCCCACCTAAAAATAAAAAGTCAAGTGTCAAATGTGATAGTTAATGCAGTTTCTCTCTCCATAGCCAAAAGTAGGAGGATGGCAACTCTAAAGGTTAAGGAAGTTATGTTAAGTGAAATAAACCAGTCAGAAAAAGATAAATACTACATGATTTCACTTATATGAGGTACCTAGAGTAGTCAAGTTCATAGAGACAAAGTAGAGTGGTGGTTGCCAGAGCCAAGGGAATGGAAGGGGGATATAAGGAGTTCTTTAATGGATTATAAAGCATTAATTTTTTAAAAAATTTATTTATTTATTTATTTGAGAGGTAGAGTTACAGACAATGAAAGGGGGAGACCAAGAGAAAAGTCTTTCATCTGCTGGTTCACTCCCTAAATGGCCACAACAGCCGGAGCTGGGCCGATCAGAAGCCAGGAGCTGCTTCTGGGTCTTCCACGCGGCTGCAGGGGCCCAAGAGTTTGGGCCATCTTCTACTGCTTTTCTAGGCCATAGCAGAGAGCCAGATTGGAAGAGGAGCAGCTGAGACTAGAAAAGGTGCTCATATGGGATGCCAGCGCCACAGGTGGGAAATTAACTTACTGCCACAGCACCGGCCCCATAGAGCGTTAACTTTTTTTTTTTAATTTATTTGACAGGTAGAGTTATAGATGGTGTGAGAGAGAGACAGAGAGAAAGGTCTTCCTTCTGCTGGTTCACTCTCCAAATGGCCGCTATGGCCGGCGCTGCAGCAATCCGAAGCCAGGAGCCAGGTGCTTCCTCCTGGTTTTTCACGTGGGTGCTGGGGCCCAAGCACTTGGGCCATCCTCTACTGCCCTCCCAGGCCACAGCAGAGCTGGACTGGAAGAGGAGCAACCGGGACGAGAACCTGGTGTCCATATGGGGTGCCAGCGCTGCAGCTGGAGGATTAACTAAGTGAGCTACGGCGCCGGCCCAAGCATTAATTTTATAAGATAAAGAGAGGACTGGAGATTGGCTGCACACCATAGTATTTTTAACATTACTGATGTTAAGATAGCAAATTTTATGTGTATTTTACCACAAAATCTTAAAAAAATTTAAAAGAGGTTGTTACTATGTGGAAAATAATGAGTAGTTTTCCCTATTTCTATCATATTACAAATAAGTAACTTATGTGTACTATATATCAGAGCCTCTGCTACAGCAAGAGACCCTCTGAGGATTATCAATCAAGAAATTTCACAAAAATGTAGGACAGAGACAATTATAGTTTGTTAAATGCTACTAGAGATGAGCAAGCATTTATTTAAGAGCAGAAGCACTTAACCATAAAGAAAGATAAGAACAGTTATGTTGAAAATTCAGAGGGACAAAAAGCTGTTAGTCCAGAGAATGAAATGGAAATACTAAGGACAGAGGGGAATTATTAAACCTGATTAAACTCAAACACACAATTAGGAAAATAATGAGTAATGCTACAAAGACATGTCTGTCCTATATATAACCGCTAATATATACCCGAAATATATGTGACAGTTTCTCTAAAATGTTGCAGACATGGGCCGCCTGCAGTGCCGGCATCCCATATGGGCAATGGTTTGAGATCTAGCTACTTCACTTCCGATCCAGCTCTCTGCTATGGCCTGGGAAAGCAGTAGAAGATGGCCAAGTCCTTGGGCCCTGCACCTGGGTAGGAGACCTGGAAGAAGCTCCTGGCATCATATTGGTGCAGCTCTGGCTGCTGTGGCCAATTGGAGAGTGAACCAGAACCAGCAGATCCAAGACCCCCCGCCTCTCCTTCTCTATGTAGCTCTTTCAAATAAATAAATCTTTTAAAGAAAAAAAAAAAAAAAAACCTTGCCGATAAACTCACAAAATACTAAACTTAAATGTTACCATTTCATGATGATTCACCAGTAGAAGAATTAAATCAGTATTCTCTGAATCATTTTATAGTCTATCCTTCACATTTGTGGTTCCATGCAATTTCAACAAAGGATTCAACATATTCGAAAGAAAAAGCTTAATTGCAGTAAAAAAAAAAGTTTCTGAAGTGGCAGGGTGGCAGATATTTGATGCGACAGTTAAGCCGCAGCTTATTATGCCTGGGTCCTATATGGAAGTGCCTTGGTTAAGAGTCTGAGCTCTTGCTGCTAATGGATACCCTTGGGAAGCAGCAGTGATGGCTCAAGTAGCTGGTCCCTCTCATACATATGGAAGATCTGAATTGCGTTCCTATGTCCTGGCTTTGGCCTTGCCCAGGTCCCGGCTGACACAGGCATTTGAGGAGTGAAGCAGTAGATGGGGATATCTGTCTAGCTGTTTCTCTGCCTTGCAAATGAATAATAAAATAAAAACTTAAGAAACTCTTCATCTTTTTGGGGTCATTATTCACTAAATAATATGTAACAACCATTAACAGAGCATTTAGTTTATCAGTTATTACAAGAGAACTAGAGACGGCCGGCACCGCGGCTCACTTAGGCTAATCCTCCGCCTTGTGGCGCCGGCACACCGGGTTCTAGTCCCAGTCGGGGCGCCGGATTCTGTCCCGGTTGTCCCTCTTCCAGGCCAGCTCTCTGCTGTGGCCAGGGAAGGCAGTGGAGGATGGCCCAAGTGCTTGGGCCCTGCACCCCATGGGAGACCAGGATAAGCACCTGGCTCCTGCCTTCAGATCAGTGCGGTGCGCTGGCCATTGGAGGGTGAACCAACGGCAAAGGAAGACCTTTCTCTCTGTCTCTCTCTCTCACTGTCCACTCTGCCTGTCCAAAAAATAATAATAATAATAAAAAAAAAAAGAGAGAGAGAACTAGAGACAACACTAAAGAAAACCTGTACCAAACTCACGGGAAAATTTTTATTTTCCCACTAATAAAAATGTTGCATTGAGGTGTGGGCCCTTGGTTATGATATCAAATGCCAGGTTATGATATATACATCTGTCTTCTGACTCCAGCTTCAAGCCAATGCAGACCCTGAGAGGCAGTGGTGACAACTCAAGTTGCTTGATCCCTCCCACCTGAGTGGGAGTTCTAGATTGAGTTCTCAGCAACCGGCTTCAGTTCCAGCCAGCTACCTACAGCAGATGGGAGAATGTGCTCTCTCTTGTTCTCTGTCCCTCAAATAAGTAAGTAAATTTTTAGAAGTGTTATCTGTGGACTGTCATTGTGGCTTTTTACTCATTTCACTGATAAACCATGGTTACTTCTTGAAAAATGAAATAAGCAAGTTTAAAATTTGAGCTTTCAGGGGGAAAAAAAATCAGAATTTTAGAAAGCTTTTGTCACAGTAAGCTTGATAATTTCCTAAAAAATAAACATATTTCTGAGAAGTTTAGAGGTATTATTAATTATTATTACTTAATACAATATAATGAAATTTATCAACATCTGGAAGATCTCTGTAACTCACTGAATCAGTATTTTCCAAATGACCAATGTATATTATAAAATCATGCACAAGTAAGAGATTCATTCCAAATATAAGATAAACTAATGGATTTTAATTAATACTAGGAAAACTTCTTGGACATGGTTTCAGATTCCACATTGCTATTAACCTGTAAGAAACCTAGTATCAAAGCAAAGTATTTACAATATTTTAGGGCCATTAAAAACTCTCCTTCCTTTTCCAAACATTAATAAATGTGAAGCCATATTTTCTTCTTATACTTCCACTAAACAATTTTATTTGCAGACTGAATACACAAGCAGCTATAAAAATCCAACTGATTTCTATTAAAAGACAGATTCTGGGCTGGTTCGAGTCCCTGCTGCTCCATTTCCAATCTAGCTGCCTGCTAACTCACCTGGGAAAGCAGCAGAAAATAGCCCAAGTCCTTGGGCCCCTATTCCCACATGGGAGACCTGGATAAAGCTACTGGCTCCTGGCTTTGGCCTGGCCCAGCCCCAGCCATTGCGGCCATTTGGGGCATGAACCAGTCAATGGAGGATGGATCTTTCTCTCTGCCTCTCCTTCTCTAACTCTGACTTTCAAATAGATAAAAATTTTGTTTAAAGTCAGATTCTTTAAAGACATTTGCAAAAATGCCAACCTAATATTCTTTCCATTATGTATTTTCTATTTTAAATAATAGTTTCTTCATTTAAAAAATGTTACTTATGCTAACACATGATGAATGGCTTAAATGATTACATAGTTATACATTTCTCAGGTTTATTTTCAGGTAAAATTATATGAGGTAGTAACACAAAATACTGGGCAATTGCTGGTTTAAATGAAACACGATACCATCCGTGTAATTACTGTGAAACTATTATAAGTAAGCATAATTTTGTGCTAACCATTTCCTATGACTGATATGAAACTCAGAATGAGTGATTTACATATGAAAAATGGATTAAGTTTTACATTAGTCTATTCTAACAATGCACAATTCATACTGAATGATTTACCAGATTTGAGAAAAGAGAATCTTCAAGTTAAAGACATTAATAATGTTCAAATGATCCTGGTTTGTAGTAAGTGTAACTTGGAAGATGAGTTGTAGGAAAAAAACAGGTCAAAATCTAGCAAGACAATGGAACTGTACATTATTAGAATTCTCTGCAAAATCAAAAATAAATGTTAAAGAGATCTTGTGTGGCAAATTAACACAAAAACTCCAGCAACTGGGAAGGCCCACAAAAGGTCATTATATCAGTTGCTTTAACATATAAAAGTGCACTGTTAATTCTGAGGCAGATGAGAACTATTCCCCAATTCAGTGGTACCATTCCAAGTTTGTCAAACTCACCAGAACCTTAAATAGACTTTCCTGCAGTGGCACCATTTGAGGCAGATGAAAAGAATTAGCTAGTATATTCTAGTCACTTTTCACCATCACAAAAGATTTTTACTTATGTCCAGGCGTATGCAGTTGATAAAAGGCTACATCCAGTATTAATGGTAAGATACAATCTTCATCTACCAATGCTGCACATGTATAAAAATGGTGTACTATATATTTTGATTTGCTCCATACTTTGCATTAGAGTAGAACAAAAATTCTAAAAGTATCACTATTTTAATTAATAAAAAAGTCCAAAGAGCTTCTCTTAATGGACCACTCCAGAAAACTTCATTTCTTTGATAACTGAAGCTTATTTATAATATTTTTAAGAAATTCAAGATCATTATCATTGTAGTGTACAAACTCCTATGGTTAATGACACAGCTGCATAATTTTTCAAAAACCTGAAGAAACAGAGAACTTGTCTTTAAGATATGATAGTCCTTTCAGTATAATGTCTTTAATTAATGGATGTTGTCTTTAACATCTATAAGGAAGGAAATATCCAGACTTTTCAAATCCTATTATGTTTCCTTTTTTGTTTACACAGGAACAAAGTTCCTAGTTTTTTGTACAGTGTGGGGTGTATAACAAGTTTGCATTTTTAAACAATATTTAAATGATTTAACAATTTTTATAAATCACTTTCAGACTTCTGGGCTGCAGACCGTATGAATCCCTTGATTGCTTATGCATAAATAAATCTGCAATACCGAATATACAAGTTTAGTACATTTGCCTGTTAGTGATTATTTTACAAGCCTAATGTTTTGGTTGAGATGTTAAGTGGTGGACAAGTTCTGTGGGAGTGAACTTGGGAAGTAATTTTAAACGTGTAATTGTTCACAAGGCTATCACACTAATTTGAAGTAACTATTACTATTTTAACAAGGCCTTGTTGCTTTGGATGCATTAGTGTTTGTGTGTAAAGGGAGCCACAGTATTTAAAAGTGACCAATCTAATGTTACAACACTTTGGGATGGCCACATGCAAACTCAGTTTTAATTAAAATGATGCAATTCTGCATAACTTAGCATTAGTTTAATAAATTTGCATTGCCATGCAAGAGTTTGCATTTTTTACCCTTTTCTTTCTTGTTATTTAAAGTCAGAGTTACACAGAGAGAGAGAGAGAGAGAGAGAGAGAGAGAGAGACAGAGACAGAGACAAAGAAAGAAAAGGAGAAATGCGCTTCCATCTGTTGGTTCACTCTCCAAGTGGCCCCAAAAGCCAGGGCTGAGTCAGGCTGAAGCCAGGAGCCAGATGCTTCATCTGAGTCTCCAATATATGGGCAGCAGGACCTCGGCTACTTTTCCCAGGCCTTTAGTAAGGGAGCTGGATTGGAAGTGGAGCAGCCAGGACTGGAACTGGCACCCATATGTTATGCTGGCCCACATGTCATGCTGCATTCATTGCAGGCAGCAGCTTTACCTGCTATGCCATTAATGCCAGCCCCAAGACTGTTATTGAAAGAAACAGAAACAGAGAGAGAAAACAGAGCGAGCAAGCGAGAGAGAGAAAAAGGAAGGAAGGAAGGAAAGAAAAAAGAAAAAATCTTTTCTCAAACTAGCAAGGACTTTTTTTTAAAACTAATCTAATGGATATTTGGAGGCTTTGAGTTGACTTTTCCCACCCATATGCTATTATCCATTATATCCTCACAACAAAACATTTTCTTGGTTTTCATGATCACCACTTTGTCCTAGTTTACATGTCTAAGTTGTCCACAGACATTCTCCATGAACAAAGCTCCCTATGTGTTGGTATCCCAGTCATTTGCCCTTAAGATTCTATACACTAAAGAATTTCAAACCAATCTTTCCCTCTAGAACTCTGTGAGGTCAGAACACACATAAACATGCTTGCTAGTCATGGACCATCCAAATGCGAATGGAATCTTCTACCTTAGCATATCTAAAAATAGTCTCATCTAACTTTCCCCTTCAAACCAGCCCTGTGTACCATTTGCCTCATGGCTGAGGTCAGAAAACTTGGGTGTCAAAAGCTTACCTGTTCTGTAGAGGATGTTTAATATAGTGTTCTGGGTTAGCAACCTCCTGATTAGACTCTGTTTTCTCCTCTTCTGCGGGTGGGGGATTAGGAGTGGGGGTGGTTTCCTAGTAGAAAGTAATACAAAACATTTTAAACTTCCTAACATTTCCATGATGGCAATATTCTAAATAAACTTAGACCAATATTGCTGCATATCTTTTTAAAGAGATGGAATTATTGCAGCTCTCTCATAAAATAGACCAGAGACTAACTTCTAAGAACCAGACTCTCCATTTTCAGCCATCTGTTAAATGCAAAAGATTTCTCAAATTAAAAATAAAATAATTATATATATAGTTACCCTCTCATTTGCATTTTTAAAAGATTTATTTATTTATTTGAAGGCAGAGTCAGAGTCAGAGTTATAGCAAGAGAGAAAAAGAGTGAGAGAGAGGTCTTTCATCTCTTGGTTCACTCCCCAGACAGCTGCAGCGGCTGGAGCTGGACCAACCTGAAGCCAGGAGCTTCTTCTGGGTCTCCCACTAGAGTGCAGGGGCCCAAGGACTTGGGCCAGCTTCTACTGCTTTCCCAGGCCACAGCAGAGAACTGGATTGGAAGCGGAGCAGCTGGGACCCGAATTGGCGTCCATATGGGATGCCAGCACTGCAGGCAGCAGCTTTACCTGCTACGCCACAGTGCTGGCCCCCATTTGCTTTTTTTTAAATATCAAGACTGTCAGGGATCATGAAACAAAGATAGGGAAATCAACTTTGGTGGAAAAATATTTATTTAAAAGCCAGAGCAACAAAGAGATCGATCTTCCATCCCCTGGTTTACCCCTGAACTGCCCACAACAGCCAGGGCTGGGCTAGACCAAAGCCAAGAGCCAGGAACTTCATCCTGGTCTCCCATTTGGGTAGCAGGGACCTAAATATTTGGGCCATCATCCACTGTTTTCCCAGGTTCAACAGTAGGAAGATGCATCTGAAATGGAGAAGCCAGACTCAAACTAGCACTCCAAAATAGGATGCAGGCCAAGTGACGGCTATTGCACTACAACCCTGGCCCCTCAACTACCTTTCTTAATCACACTGAAGCATACATGTTATTGGCAAGAGGTGGAAGGAATAAAACTGAAGCTTGGAGAATGAAACAACTAATTGTATTAAGATGACTGCTCCCCCCCAAAAAAAGCTGATCGGATGATCAAGACAATAACAGACAATAATACACGGGTCCTTGCCTTATGTTAGGGATCCTCATTCTATCATGTAGCTTTTCACCATTTTATAAATTAGCATCAACAAAACAGGTAGCTAAGGAAAGGCCCCAGAAGCTGAAACAAAAGCTCTTTCCTCTCTTCCATAAACACACAGACTCACACACACAAACACAAACTGAATCAGCAAAAATCAGAGATGTGTGTTAACACAGTAAAGTATATAAATTGAAGAGGGGTCATCAAAAAGTTCCTGGAAAATGCCAATTAAGAAAAAAAAATCTATGCATGGGGGTAGCTCCAGGGCACAGCAGGTAAAGCCACTGCTTGGGATGCACACATCCCTTATCCAGGTGCCTCATTACAGTCCTAGCTACTCTGCAACTCTGACACAGCTTTCTGCTAATATGCCTAGAAGTCAGCAGACAACGGCCCACGTACTTGGGTACCCACCACCCACATGGGATACCTGGATGGAGTTCCTACTTTAAGCTCCTGGCTTCAGCCTGGCCTAGCTTTGCCTGTTTTGGGCAACTGGGGAGTAACCTAGCAAATGGAAGATCTTTCTCTCTCTGTCCAATAAAATAAAGCTTTAAAAAAAAAAGTATGAATTTTTCTTTTTTTTGATAGAGAGAGACAGAGAGACAGAGACAAAGGTCTTCCTTTCCATTGGTTCACCCCCAAAATGGCTGCTACGGCCAGCGCGTTGCACCAATCTGAAGCCCAGAGCCAGGTGCTTCCTTCTGGTCTCCCATGTGGGTGCAGGGCCCAATCACCTGGGCCATCCTCCACTGCCTTCCCGGGCCACAGCAGAGCTGGACTGGAAGAGGATCAGCTGGGACAGAATCCAGCACCCCAACCGGGACTAGAACCCAGGGTGCTGGCACCGCAGGCGGAGGACCAGCCAAGTGAGCCGTGGCGCTGGCCAAAAGGTATGAATTTCAAACACATCAAACAGACTTATGATTAAGTACTCATTCCACAGAATACATTTTTTATTCTCAATTTATTACAGGAACTTCCCCATTAAACCAATAATGTTACTCAGCAGAAGCCATGTCCTCATTTTACTCATAATGTTTTTTTTTTAATGATTCTGTGGTCAACAATAGAATCTTATTCGGCTTGATTTTTTAACTGAATGAATGTAAATGTTTACATGCCCTAAAGTTTATATACAGAAGTTAGTCTTAACATCACTCAACATTTTTACCAGCATTTTCTCATCAGTCAATGTAAGTCTTCAGATAATTACTGCACGCTATTTCCTACCCAGCTAGCTTAAAACTGATCCTTTCAATGGATAGAGCAAACAAGAAGTTAGAGACTAACACAAGTGTGCTTTGGGCAACAAGGTAACAGAGAAAAATGGAGTACAGCAGAGTGATCACAAAAACAAATCTATCTGAAAAAAGACTCACAGGTCCCTAGCTGACTCTTAAACTTAGCCAAAACCTCTGAGGCTGCCCCACTATTTCAGAAACAGAGTTCTGATCTAGGTAGTGAGTGGGTTGAAAACCTTCAGCTCCCTGATGAAATCATACCAACTACAATATCTAAAATTAAGAGTTCACTAAATGAATAACAGCAGACCAAACTCAACAGGATGCAGGCTTAGCAAACTCGAAAACAGGTCAAAAGAAAATATAAACTGATGCACAAAGAATACAAAAAAAAACAGAGTGTAAGAAATGTGCAGAACGTGCTTAAAAGGTTCAGGGACAAGATGACAGAATGGGATAGAAGAACTACTCCTAAAATTTTGACCAAATCTGATCGAATCCAGGTCACAGATTTAAACAGGTCAGAAACACCAAAAAGTATAAACATAAACATAAAACTACATTCAGGTACATCAGAATCACACTACAGAAAAAAAAAGATGAAGAGGTAATAAATATATCAAAAGTGGTTAGAAATGTTTACACAAAAATAAGAACCGTTACCTCCTCAATGGAAACTGTGGAAGCCATAGACAACAAGAACGACATTGTAGTATTGAAGTTAAAAAACTTTCATCTTAGAATTTGATGTCCTTCAAAAATGAAGGAGGGGGGTCGGCGCCCTGGCTCATTTGGTTAATCCTCCGCCTGTCGCGCCGGAATCCAATATGGGCGCCAGATTCTGTCCCGGTGGCTCCTCTTCCAGTCCAGCTCTCTGCTGTGGCCCAGGAAGGCAGTGGAGGATGGCCCAAGTGCTTGGGCCCTGCACCTGCGTGGGAGACCAGGAGGAAGCACCTGGCTCCTGGCTTTGGATCGGCGCAGCGCCAGCCCTGACAGCCATTTGGGGAGTAAACTAACAGAAGGAAGACCTTTCTGTCTCTCTGTCTATAACTCTACCTGTTAAATAAATAAATAAATAAATGTTTGAAAAAAAATGAAGGAGGGGGCCAGCACTACGGTACAACAGGTTAAGTACACCGCCTGTGAAACTCACACTCCATATTGGAGTGCTGCTTTAAGTCCTGGCTGCTCTGCTTCCGATGACCTAGCTTCCAGCTAAGGCTCCTGGGAAAGCAGCGGAAGATGGCCCAGGTACTTGGGCCCCTGTCATTCATGTGGAAGACCTGAATGGAGTTCCTGGCCCCTGGCTTCCACTTGACCAGACCTGGCTATTGCAGCCATTCAGGAGTGAACTAGTGGATGGAAAAATCTGTCTCCTCCTCTCTATTGCTCTGACCTTCAAATAAATTAAAAAAAAGGGGGGGGGGATAAAAATAGTCTCAGTGCACACACAAATACACAACCCAACAGATTCAAAGTAAGAGAAATACCAAAGGGAAATCCTTAGCTTGAAGGAAAAATAATCCAGATGGTAACATGAAGGTACAAAAAAGAATGAGAATCACTAGAAGATGTAAATACAAGCAAATGAGTAGACATATAAAAGACTATTAATAGTTTAAAGGGAGATGTAAAATAATGGTGAGTTTAAAGTGAGATTGGGTATGACAGCCAAAGTTATCCTTCCTTCCTAAAGCTAAGTCCAGGATGAGTATTCTTTATCCAAAATGTGTGAAATCAAAAATTGCTTTGGATTCTGGAGTATCTGCAAATACACATTAAGCTAAATTGGGCAGCTAAACAAAAAATGCATTTGTTTCATATATACCTTATATATACATTTACATACATTTGCCTTTACGTATATATATACGTATATATATACGTATGTAATTTTAATTTTGTGGATGAAACAAAGTCTGTGTGTAACAAGTGAAAGGGACTTTTTTCCCTTGTAGATGCTGAATAAAGGGTGTGTTTTGCACCTGCATTTTGACTGCAATCCATGCATGAGGTCAGGTGTGCCATTTTCTACTGGTAGTGCCATGTCAGTGCTCAAAGTTTCAGATTTCAGATAAGGGATGCTTAACTCATTGTAGTGTAAATTCTCAAACTTACTCAGAAGCTCAAAATCCTCATGACAAACCATGCTTTCACAATATTTAAACTTTTTACCTCAGTACATAAAAAACAACGAAGTAACAATAATGAGTAATCACAAGTTTCAGAGGTCCAAAATGTGACCCTCTATATAATTCATTTAAAACTTTCTCCCTTGGGGCTGGCGCCCTGGTGCATTAGGTTAATCCTCCACCTGAGGCGCTGGCATCCCATACAGGCACAGGTTCTAGGCTGCTCTTCTTCCAATCCAGCTCTCTGCTGTGGCCTGGGAAAGCAGCAGGAGTCCTTGGGCCCCTGCATCCACATGGGAGACCAGGAAGAAGCTCCTGGATCCTGGCTTTGGATCGGCGCAGCTCCGGCCGTTGTGGCCATTGAGAGTGAACGTCTACTTATCTCAATAAGCTATTCTTTATCAGTAGCAATAATCCAAATATCGTAGCAATGAGCTAGACACCTGGAGAGGTGAAGTCATCAGCATGGAATGCCTGCATCTTGTATCAGAG